GACAGAGGGTAATCTCAAGATCCCAGCAGTAACTCCAGTCCTAAAGGAAAGAAACACAGAACAGAAGAGGATCCTCGGCGCCCTCTGGTGGGCAAGCCTGAGGATCCCAACAGAGCCCCCTCCTCAAGGGCGGATTCCAGACGCTCCCTGAAAAAGTCCAACAAAAATAAACAAAAAAAAACAACCCACCCAGGGTGGGCGGAGGGGGCACTAAGGCAAGGAGGGCCAGGAACAAAAAACAAAGTCCAGAAAACAAAAAAACAACCCACCAAGAGTGTGCGATGGAGGAGACAGGCCAGGAGGGCAAAAACAAAAACAAAGTCCAGAACAGAAAACGATCCACTTATGGTGGATGAAAACAAAAGAAAACCCAGAAAATTTTTTGGGCAACGTCTCTGGTGGCCGGTCGTGGGACCGGTAGCGGGACTGAGTCTCAGGTGGCCGGCCAAGGGACCGGCAGCGGGACAGAGTCTCAGGTGGCCGGCCGAGGGACCGGCAGCGGAGGCGTATCAGCTGCTCAGGAGGTTGACCGTTGAGACGGAGGCGAGGCCGATTCTCAGGGGGCCTACCGCTGGGCCGGAGGCGAGACAGATGCTCAGGAGGCCGACCGCAGGGCTGGAGACGAAGCAGCGTCTTAGGAGGACCACTGCCGGGCCGGAGGCATGGCTGAGGTTCTGGAGGCCGGCCGAGGATCCGGCAACGGAGCAGAGTCTTAGGTGGCCGACTGTGGGGTCGGAGGCGAAGCTGACGCTCCGGGGTCCTGCCGCAGGGCCGAAGGCGAAGCCGACGCTCTGGGGGCCGGCCGCGGGGCCGGAGGCGAAGCCTACGCTCCGGGGGTCTGCTGCGGGGCCGGAGGCGAAGCCGACGCTCTGGGGGCCGGCCGCGGGGCATGAGGCGAAGCAGCTTCTCAGGAGGATGACGCCCAACCTTCAGTAGGTACCCCCACAGGGTACCCCGTCCCCTCTTCGGCGGCTCAGGAACAGGCTCTGTGGTGACCGCCGACTGTGGCGCTGGAACAGGCTCTGAGAAGACCGCCGACAGCAGCTCTCGGACTGGAACAGGGGAGCCCGCCGATTGCGGCTCCGGGTCTGGAACTGGGGAGCCTGCCGATTGCGGCTCTGGAGCACTGGAGCCCGCCGATTGCGGCTCCGGGTCTGGAACTGGGGAGCCTGCCGATTGCGGCTCTGGAGCACTGGAGCCCGCCGATTGCGGCTCCGGGTCTG